GGCGGAGGCGGCTGGGCGGTGCGGCACGGCGCGGGCGTGGGCGGAAAGGGGGCTGAGAGAGGGCTGCCTGACCGGCCGCTGCAGACTGGTGCCATGGAGTGCTCAGCCTGCATCAGACCCAGCTCGGTCAAGGGCCTGCCATTCCGCGATCACACGCCCCTGGCCTCGACGCACATGTGCAAGAAAGGCATCGCCTGAACCCCACGCAGCTTGTACCAGAAACGCGCAACAGAAACGGCCGCCAGCCGCCGCGCACGAGCGCGCGCGAGGGCCTCACCTGGCTGATGGCCCGCCCGCCCGCCGCGCCGCCGCCCGCGTCGCCGCCGCCGCGCTGCGCCGTGAGCCGCCGCAGCGTCTCGTCGTTCTTTTGGCGCAGCAGCTCGTCCTGCTTCTCGCGCCTTTGGAGGTATGGTTCGAGACCGGTGCGGCAGCCGACAATGAGGTACACGTTCACTTGATTGTGACTGGTGTTACGCGGCCGAGATGCACAGAGATCACCACAACCACAACCACAGCGCACGCGCCCGCCCTTGAAACGTCACAACAGCAGCGCCGGCGCATTTCCGTCCTGCAACCCTTCTCGTGCCTACTTGACACATTCGCGTACACACACAAACATGCGCGCGCGCACGGACGCGTGCACACGCGCACCTGATCTGCTCTGCGCTCTTGTAGTTGGGGTCGTCGCTGCGCAGCTTCTTGCCGGGCAGGCCATTGGTGACGTCATCGAACGCCTCGGGCCGCGCGTCCTCCTCCTCCTTTGGGGGAGGGGGGCGAGCAAGGAAGAGGAATTTAATGTCAAAGAATTGCGCGCCGGTGGTGGAGGGGGGGTCGTTCCAGCGAGCCTTGGGCTGCGAAAAATGTGGCAGCTGCGCTCTGCAGGCAGCCTCAACAGCCTTGGTCGACTCGCCCTGAGCCCGACAAGAAAACAGCAAGCCCGATTGCAGCCAACACGGAAACAGGATTGACTGCAGGCCGTGCAACTCGGCGCAGCCCAGCCGCGCCCGCGCCTGCGCGGCTGAGCCCTCCATCCCACCCTTGCCCGCCCATGCAGCCGCCCGAAGCTTGCCCGCGGCCCCCACCTCGTCGTCGCCCTTGAGCGTGTACGAGATCTTGTCAAAGTCCTTGGGGGCGCCGTTGGTCATCACCTCGGGGGCCGCCCCCTTGGGCTTCACAACCACGGTGTCCGCCACCTGGGGATTGCGAAAAGTTCAAATTGATGGGTTTGGGTCCCTCAGGGTTCAGGGTTGAACCCTTGTGCGGGCAGCGCGGTCTGGCAAGGCATCGAGAGGCACCACGAGCGGGGGATGGTGTGCCAGCGTGCTATAGGTGTGGCGCCGGCTCAAGCAGAGCGACCTGCCCCTCTCCAGGCCTCCTCTTCAGGCGCTGGAGCATGCGCAGAATCCTCCGGGACCCCTGGGCGGCCGCGCGGACGGCTTCTTGCCTGCAGGGCGTACGTCTGCAGGGGCCCGTCCTTGATGGAGGGGTCACTCAGGCCCGACAGGCCCACGACCACGTTGAACACCTGGCAAAAAGGGATTCGAGGGGAAGAGGTCCCGGGTAGGTGCACGTTGTAGGCTCCGCTTGGCAGGCCCGGCATCAGGGCGAGCCAAGCCTCAAACATCAAGGTACAGCGGCGCGATCCAGACAGGCGGGCGGGGTCGCGGGGCTGCGTGCGCGTCCCATGGGGGGGGGCAGACAGGGGCGGCCGCGGCGCCGCACCTGGCCCGCCTTGAGCTTGCCCGTGTTCTTGGGCCCCAGCACGTTGTGGCTCTCGCGGAACTCGAGGCCCATGCCAAAGCCGACGTTGCGCGTGAGGCGCTCAACCAGGTGCCCGTGGCCGGCCGACTCCAGGGACTGCGAGCACGAGGTACAGCGGGGCCGACGCGGGTAACAACGGCAGCAGTGGGGCGGGGCGACGGAGGGTTGGGTGAGGCCCTGGAGAGCCATGAGCGTGGCTGTGAGAACTTCCCAAAAGTGCTGAGCGCCAACTTGCGGGAAGGCATAGGCGGGCGGAGCAGCAGACCCGTGGAGCCGCGGTGCGAGCCTCGCTGCCAATGTCAAGGCAACAGCAGCAGGCGCAGGCGCCTTCGCGGCAGCTGCAGGCGCCATGGCCGCACTGGCAACGGCCGCAGCATTGGCAGCAGCAGCAGCAGGAGCAGCAGCAGCAGTAGCAGCGGCAGCGGCAGCAGCAGCAGCAGCAGCAGCAGCAGCAGCAGCAGCACCGGCAGCAGCATTGCCCCGCCCCCGCCCACCTTGACGGCCGCTTGGTAGACGTCCGCCGCCGCCGTGCCCTCCTTGAGGGCCGCAATGGCCGCGGCCTGCGCCCCCAGCAGCGCCTTGTACTCAGACTCCTGCTGCTTGGTGCCGTCCACGATGTACGTGCTGTCGCGTTTCAAGTCGGTCAAGGCGCAGGGGAAGGGGGGTGAGTTGGGGCTGTGATCTCAAAAGAGGAGGTTCAGAGAGAGGTGATCAAGGGGCCAGGCGTGTGTGCGACGCGCAAGGCCGCGCGCGCCGCAGACGGGTCGCGCCGCGCCAGGGCGCGAGTGCGCGGGGCCGACGTCCACCCATTGCATTCGCCCTGCCCCCCCCC